CAGAGCAGGCCTCCGGTCAGTACAGTGGCACGTTTATTTACTCAATGAGAGGCCCGCACAGGAACTTCAGAGCAGGCCTCCGGTCAGTACAGTGGGCAGCGTTCGCTGCAGTAGCCATGCACTGTGGGTCCGCGGGGTGAGGACCAGCCTGGTGCGTGGGCTGACACCCACCTGCTGAGCCCGGGCGTGGGCTCCACCACAGGCAACTCAGGAGGGGTGGGGCGTGCAGCCTCAGCTGCATCCTCAGAGCAGGACTCGACTTTGCTCCGCCCTGTTGACCCGGGTTCAGCAAAGTGCCTGGCGTATAGGAAAGCTCCAACAAGAAAGCCTTTGTTGAATGGCTTAACAATCACCTCCGGTGACAAGTACTCCCACAGAAACAGAAACAGAAACAATAAATTCAGGTCACAGGAAAGAATGTTCAGGGGGAGGCTCCAGCCAAGAAACAACTTCCAACCCTGCCTTGAGGGTCGGGGATATTCCAGTGCTCACTGGATGGGCGGGCGGAGAAGAAGCCTTGCAGGCTCAGCCAAGGCGGGGCTGGCTGGATGGGGCCCGGCAGCCAGGTCTCCGCTGAAGGTTCGGGCTGTGGGGATAAGACGGCTCGTCTGGATGAGGCCATGCAAGGCTGCACACCCCAGCTGGAGGTAGTGTCTGTGCACAGCAGCCTCTTGAGTGAGTTTAAGCAGGAACACAGATGAAGGGCCCTCTGTTAGAACTGTAACAGAGGGGACAGGGTCTGTCACCTTCGATGCTTGCCCCACATCAGTGTTGGAGAAAACACTGTGTTTGAAAAATGCCATGCTAAGCCCTCGGACATGGACATCTGCGAAAGTAAGGCCAGCGAAGGGAGATGGTTAGACCACTCTGTGGGAGCCCAAGAAGGGAGAACAGAGAGAACGCCGGGGCAGGAGGCAGGAGCCAGGTGCAGCCAGTGAGACTGAGATTCCTAGGCCTGGGGTGCTGTGTCCCCCCACCCCGGGTCCCCTGTCACCTCCCTCAAGGTCACCGTGGAACAGGTCAGTGTTGGTTTGCTTGTCTTTAAAAATGTGGTAGCACGAAATATAACAGGGAAGTCTCTCCTTATTGTAACCAAGAAGGGGCTGACTCCTCACAGAGCCCCTCGTTTCTTTTCCCCTCAGTTTTTTGTCACCACCTGCCCTCCTGCATAGCATGTGGCCCGTGAGCACGCCCACTCGTCTGGGCTTTGGGGACAACTCAGCAGCAGCCACGGGAGACCAATGGCCCCCGTTACTCTGTTCACTGCAGAGCAGTTGATGAACGTGCACCTCGTCCTTACAGCCTCCAGAAGGACCGGGATCGCGAGGCGTTACGTGTTGCTAACATCCCATAAGAATAAGGACAGTCTTGCTGACCACGCTGGTCACCAAGCCCAGTGAGCATGCCCTCCAGGGTGCCTCCCTCGTGCGTGGGTACAATGTCATTACTAAGAACACCTCCAGGTCCATCCCCACAGTGTAAGACAATGTCCCCAGTCTGAAGTCCCACGTTATGTTTGCTATGGGAATGTAACTCCTGGGCCCATTTCGTAGGTGCAGTGTCACTGGCACTTAGAACCACAGTAATCAACACTCCTCGGAGAGGTCAGAATCGGGCTCAGGGCAAGCCCGACAGCCCGGCTGGAGACCCTTCAGAGACGCGGCTTGCCTAGTTCAGGGTCTGCGAGGGGAGCTGCCCTGCCCCTGCCCTGGGGCCTCAGGGTCTTGGTCTCCTGCCAGTCGGCCTCTGCCGGACTGCAGTCTGGTCCCGACCCCTGCTGTGCCCAGGGACACTCTCCTGCTTGCCTTCATTTCACTCTCAACTGGACCCAATCTACTTGTTCATTCTCTAATTCAAGGTCATTTTCAGTTGAATCTAGCTTTCCTTGGGGGGTGGGGTGGGAAGGGAAATCAGGACCCTGGACACAGAAACAAAGCAGGCAGCCTCCCAACCATGCCTCCTCCACTAATCAGACAGTGGGACACACCACCACCCCGATACCCAACGGCAGCAGAGGCAACTTCCACCGGCAAAGAAAGAACAAACAGCCTCTCCTGAAGTAGACTCTGGAAGGAACGCCACCGCTGGAGCCCAAGCAATCCCGTTCCTGACTCCGCCATTGGCCGGAAAGCCTCTTGGGTGCAGAATTACCCCCTGAAAGCTCACAGTGCTGGTAATTATGCTATTCTGAACTACTTACTGAATTTATTTGAATCCAGAGGTGGGTTAAGCCACTTCCAGACCATTAAAGTAAACTACGTGGGTAAATAGTGCTGTCACTAAGGGGTTGATGACGCTTACCACTGCCGACATCTTAACCTCAGCCCAGCACAGCCCCGGCTCCGCCATCACAGTTCATAAATGCAGCTGCAGGTCCATCTTTTCATTGAGCAATTTAATAACTTCGAGTGCTGTCAGTACTGCTGTGAAAAACAGCACCTATAAAATGTAACAGCCTCAATCAGACGGAAAAGGACCCAGCCACTGCCGATTCCACCACGGCAGCCACAGTGAATTAAGGGTGAGCGACGCCCAAGTTCAAGTGTCATTTAAACTCATGTGAATCCTGGCTGGAACTTTACACGTTTTAACTGGACTCGGCCCAAGAATGTAGTGGGCACATTGGCTTCATTCCCTGAGGTCTTTCTAGTAAACAGGAAGTGTAGTGCTCACCAATGCAAAAGGTCAAAGGGACAGGAAACGTGGCCAACAGGCGCATCTAGGGACGCGTTTACCCCACTGCACGGCCACTGTCACAGCTCTTTAACGGGGCTCCGGTGCCCACCCACCGTGGTGCACTGGATGCTATTCAGAGACAGTGGAGGCTGTGGAACCGCGATGGCAGTGGGTCAGGGCTTGTCACTGCAGTTTTGTTGGCAGTTGCTTCCTCCAGGACAGTGAGCAGCTCTGGGCAGAAGGTGCGGAGGGAGACAAGGTCGAGCCAGGGCCCGGTCACTCGCCTTCATGAGTCCGGAGGCACGACCCTCCCTTCTCACTGCTACACGCACTCAAAAGTTTATCACTCAGGCGGCTTGACTGTGTTGAGGATGAGAAACTGTTCCTGGGCAATGAGTCTTAGTAGCCCGCTGTTGTGGAGAATCAATGTGATGGCCCAGCTTCTCCATTCTAGTGAGTCCCCGGAGCCGCGAGCACAGACCCCGTGGTGCAGGGATGGAGGGGTTAGGTGGTGGGGACGTAGCCCTCCCTGAACCTTGCTAAGGGCTCTCTCCACAGTCTGCTGGGCTTCTGGGAAGCCACAGACGGGGTTTAGTACCTGGCGGCCTCCTTGCTGCGTGTGTTATACTTTAGTCACTGTCACCATTTTTTCCCACAGAATAAATACCTTATGCTTTTGTTAAGCTTACATTTAATTAAAATGTACAGAATTTGTGCAGTAAACTCGAATGAAACAAATAAAACAAGGCCCCCTCTCTTGAAGGCATACATTGTGAATGAAAAATGTCATTACAGACTAAAAAATTTTGCAGTAAACAGGGCCTACAGAGAGAAGTTTCCCTGTAATGACATCCATAAAATACACAAATGGCACTTTTAGTACCATCCTGAATATGGCCTTTTCTGTGCTCCACACACAATCTAAATGGTTTGATCATAGAGCATAATACTCCATCGGGTTTATAGAACAATCAATGTTCCATAAAATGATGTATTTATCCAATAGTCCCCTCAGCAGTTACTGGCGTATGACATTGTAGGACCTGGCTTTGTGTGCCTCGGCACTGCGCACGCCGGCCGTAAAACTTATCTAATGCTACTCCAACAACTTCATCTCATCTGTGTCAAGTAATTTGTTGAAGCCTCAGCTTGGTTTTAAAAAAAACTTGTAATAAAAATTCATAGAATTTTCAGGAGACTGAAAACTGATGACAATAGAAAGGTCATACTGCGTCTCCACTAAAGGGGTCAGAGGTGGCGAGCAGTTCTAAAACTGAAAGTAGATTTCATGCATCGTGGAGCAGATAAAGATGGCATTAAGCAAGCTCTCAGAGCGCGGTGCTGAATGCGGCAGGAGAGCCGGTGGCGGTGTATGCAAACCACCTGGTTGCTACCAGCCAGCGCTTCCTGTACATCTCTGGGCTTTTCCTGAAACGTGTAGACCTTGCCGGGTGCTTGTGACACCACCGTGTTTCACGCATGTACGTATCTGGAGTTGGTGTTTCGGTAG